ACAGGTTCCCATCCTATTTCTCTGCCATCCTTCAGCTGTTATTCTCATGCTCATCACCTCATGGTTCCAAGAGGGCTGCTGCAGGGCCAGTCTTCACATTAGCACTCAAGGCAGGAAAAGCACACAGTACCCAGATCAGGAACACAAGAGCTTTCACACAAATACCTAGAAGACTTGTTAGCATCACTGACCAGACCTGTCACAAGGCCACCTCATGTGTTAGGCAAGTATTTTTAGTGGGGGATATATTTTCTCTCATCCTCTGGACAAAACTGGTATTCTTTTAGGATGGGAAAAGAGAAGAAGGGAGATATCTGCCACAAGAGTTATTTGAAATGTGGATTTTATGTACAGTATTTTTTTATACTAGCATCAAATTGAGTGAACACTGGGAAATTATCCAGAAAAACACAGAACACACAGCTTTCACTTTTCGTTGCTTTATTCATCACTGCTTTGTTCATTTTATATTACCCATTAAGTATCTAGGCTTCAATTCTGTTTGTCCCTTTTTACTAATTAAAAAATAATTTAAGATGTTAGAACCACCAAATATTTAACTAGGCACATGCTATCTTATGATGAGTTTTCCAGGCACGCCTCATGCCATGAAATTACAGAAAGTTTTATAAGTATAGGCTGTGGGGCATGGGAGAGAAGCAGATGGGGCTTTAAAAAATCTAATTTGTCATTTATTGTTGTGTTTGTAAGACAAGTCTCTTTTAGCATCTCATATTATTAACATGACTCATGGATGCTTCGTCCCAAAGTTGAAGACACTTAGCAATATGTGCAGGCGGGACCCAAAAAGGTGTGGTGCCTTGTGGACCATAACTGAAAGGTGAGTCATGGGAATGTTGTAAATTAAACAGGAAGGAGGATATTTGGATATGAAAGTAGGACATACATTAGATTCCACAGCAATTAGACTTTTCCATAAAAGAAGCATCTGGTTTTAGAACTTGCAAGAAGAATAAAAAGGGAGAATTTGGGGAGATCTTGAAGCACTCTAGGCACTCAACTAATAGTCAGTCATTAACTCATAAATCCTGTGAAGAAAGCCTGAGCTGCGGAATGTAATCCTTGATCTGCCGCCCAGCAACCCCGTCACTGCGTCTGCAGCTGCAGTCAAGCACTGTGAGGACACAAAGTGTGTGTCCTGTATCACTTTGCAATATTCATACTGCAGTTTCAATTTTATACATTCTGTCTTCTCCAATTTTATACATCCCAGTATATATCAGAGAAGCAGTTGGTCATCTACTACCAAGTGTTTCATTTAACATTTTATATTCCCAGAGGAAGGGTTACACCTCTAACTTTGCTGGATTCTAAACTTTTTGAAGTAAGAAAAAAAAACACTTGAATGATGTGCTCTCTGATCTAAGACAATAGAATGTATATGTGAAGCTTAACTCCTGTACCTCTTTAGAAAGGTATGTATTATGTGAGGCACACAGATATTAACAAGAATGGTTTCCTCCACCCGGCCGTGCACTGCATCCACATTTGTGCTTATGCTCCTGTGAAAGGGAGCTGGAGAGGGACTCTAACTTGCATCAGGCTGCTGTGAGGTCGCAACAAGGCAATCTCCATGTCACACCTGGTACACAGGGGATGCTCAACAGATGTTATCTCTTTCCTCTCTGTCCCTGCAGTGCCATCTGGACTTGCATCAGTTTAACTTTTCCCTTAGAAGAGCCATAAAGAGGGGCAAAGATATGATTCTGGGACCAAGAGATCTTCCTCCAGGGCCGTTGAAGCCAGCCTCCCATCTTCTTTGTCTTGGAGGAGCTCTCAGACATTTGGATTAACACACTCAGAGATATGATAGCTCTTTTCATTTCACAGATTAGCAGACACCAAAAATCAACATGGGTAAAGCATTTACTTCCAAAGTCAGAAAGATCCTTAATGGGCTAAGTTCAGATTGAGACCTATGGTTGTGGATCCGGGTCCTGGTCCAGGCAACACCTGAAGACAGAAGAGAGGTGCCTATCATAGCATGGAGCTGGGGGTTCTAGGGTCTTTTCTCTGGGTGACCTAACCATTGGCTTGAAGACCACTAGAGTGGGGTAAGAAGGAGAATTTTTTAAGATTTTTTTAAGAGCAGTTTTAGATTTACAGCAAAATTGAGGAAGGCTCAGAGACGTCCCATAAGTCCCTTGCCCTCACACACGTGTAGCCTTTCCATATCCCCCACCAGAGTGGTATATTTGTTACAACTGATGAACCTACACTGACACATCATTATCACACAGAATCCAGAGTTTACATTAGGGTTCACTTTTGGTGTTATACATTCTATCAGTTCGGACAAGTGTATAATGACATGTATTTACCATTATAGTATCATGCAGAATATTTTCACTGCCCTAAAAATCTTCTGTGCTCTGCCTATTCATCTCTCCCTCCCCTTAGCAACCCCTGATCTTTTTACTGACTCCATAGTTTTGCCTTTTCCAGAATGTCATACAGTTGGAATTATATAGCACGTATCCTTTTCAGATGGGTTTCTTCCATTTACTAATATGCATCTAAGTTTTCTCCATGTCTTTTCATGACTTGATAGCTCATTTTTTGGCATTAAATAATATTCCATTGTCTGGATGGACCACAGCTTATTTATCCATTCACCTACTGAAGGACATCCTGGTTGCCTCCAAGTTTTGGCAATTATGAATAAAGTTGCTATACACATCCATGTGCAAGTTTTTGTGTGGACGTAAGTTTTCAGCTCCTTTGGGTAAATATCAAGGAACATGACTGTTGGATCATGGTGGTAACAATATGTTTAGTTTTATGGACAGCTAATCTTCGACAAAGGAGCAGAGGGCCTACAATGGAGAAAAGAAAGTCTCTTCAACAAATGGTGCTGGGAAAACTGGACAGCCACATGCAAAAGATTGAAAATTGACCATTCTTTTTCACCACACACCAAAATAAACTCAAAATGGATCAAAGACCTAAAGATTAGGCCTGAGACAATAAGTCTTTTGGAAGAGAATATAGGCAGTACACTCTTTGACATCAGTTTCAAAAGAATCTTTTCGGACACTGTAACTCCTCAGTTGAGGGAAACAATAGAAAGAATAAACAAATGGGACTTCATCAGACTAAAGAGCTTCTTCAAGGCAAGGGAAAACAGAATTGAAACAAAAAAACAGCTCACTAATTGGGAAAAAATATTTACAAGCCACTTATCCGACAAAGGGTTAATCTCCATAATATACAAAGAACTCACACTGCTTAACAACAAAAAAACAAACAACCCGATCAAAAAATGGGCAGAGGACATGAACAGACATTTCTCAAAAGAAGATATGAATATGGCCAATAGACACATGAAAAGATGTTCATCATCGCTAATCATCAGGGAAATGCAAATCAAAACTACACTAAGATATCACCTTACCCCCGTTAGATTGGCAAAAACATCCAAAACCAAGAACGACAAATGTTGGAGAGGTGTGGAGAAGAGGACCTCATACACTGTTGGTGGGAATGCAAACTGGTACAGCCACTATGGAAACAGTATGGAGATCTCTCAGAGAGTTAAAATAGAATACCCTATGACCCAGCCATCCCACTACTGGGTATCTATCCTAAGAACCTGATAACAGATATCTCAAGAGTCTGTTGCACCCCTATGTTCATCGCAGCATTATTTACAATAGCCAAGACGTGGAACCAGCCTACATGCCCAGAAACTGATGATTGGATAAAGAAGATGTGGTATATATACACAATGGAATACTACTCAGCCATAAAAAAAGACGAAATTGGCCCATTCACAACAACGTGGATGGACCTCGAGGGCATTATGTTAAGCGAAATAAGTCAGTCAGAGAAAGACGATCTCTATATGACTCCACTCATAGGTGGAAATTAGTATATTGAGAAGGAGATCTGATCGGTGGTTACCAGGGAAAAGGGGGGGTGGGGGGAGGGTACAGAGGGGGAAGTGGTGTACCCACAACATGACTAATAATAATGTACAACTGAAATCTCACAAGCTTGTAATCTATCATAACATTAATAAAAAAATAAAAAAAAAAATAAATAAATAAATAAATAAAAAGAATATGTTTAGTTTTGTAAAAAACTGCCAAACTGTCTTCCTAAGTGGCTGCATGTACCACTTTGCATTCCCACCAGCAATAAATGAGAATTTGTCTTGCTCCACATCCTTGCCAGCATTTGATGTTGTCAGTGTTCTGAATTTTGGCCATGCTAGTAGGTATGCAGTGGTATCTCGTTGTTTGGAAGTAGAATTCTTCAGCTAAAGATCCGCTTTGTTTTCCTCCTACAGAGAGGAATTCCTTCAGGCCCCGATTTAATCTCCGTGGCTCTGACCATGGTGCTGAATCCCCTGATCTTGAAAATTTACCTCCTACAAAGGCAGTAAATTCAACCTCTCTCAGTTATGGGACGTGTTAAAGGTGATATGGGGAAGAGTGCTTGCCCATCTTACATTCCGTAACTCTACTAACCACGTATTTAAGCTATAGAGTTTATCTGTTCCCTTGAGATCTTTTTGAGGAATAAGGTTTGGGAGAATTTCTGGCTGAAATTTATGGATTAAGATGCTCCCAGTTTCTGAGTTCCATGTGAATATCAGTAGAAAATTTCTAAATAGAAAACCAACTGGCACCAAAGTAAATTGAATGCATATTAAGCACAATATTTTTTCCCTCAATTTCTAGGAAATAACAATAAGGAGGCCATAGTTCCCAAGACGATGACCACAAAGAGCCTTCTGCTTCTCTGAGTGGAGGTTCCTGACTTCAGTGTGGTGCTGCTTCACTGCTGACATTCAGGAAACTTGTGTTTATATAAAGCTTTATCCTAGGTTAATCCTCTAAAGAGGATATAGCACTCTTCATGCCAATTCAATTGAACACAGAATGCCTGCATTATGCTAGGCATGTGCTGGGAATGTGGACCCTGACCAAGAAGCTTACAGTCTATTAGGTGAGAAAAACATGAACACGAGTGACTCTAATTCAAGGTAGAATGTATTATGTGCTTTAACAGAGATACCATGTGTTACAAGAATTGTGACAGGACAGTAATTCACTCTGATGTGGAATCTAACCAGAGAGTTCTCTGAAATACTGAGCTCTGGTCTTGACCATACACTCACCTTCCCTATGGGGGCAGACATATCTGAACTGATGAAGTCTGGTCAGCCATAAACCTCTTTTTAGAGATGAATTCCACTTTGCTATGAGATCCTGGTCCTGACTCTTAGGGACTCCTGCTTGCTGGGAGCTTGGGTGGATTATGTTTCTTCCTTCAAGCCCTGCCAACCAGTGAGAGGATAGTCACAGGTAGGGTGAGGCAGATAGTGTTGCATCTGTTCCATGGACACTAACTGCAGCTCCATCTTCACTCACTCTCTGCAAACAAACAAAGCAGAGATTCTCATGTGGAGGTGGTGTAAACAAATGGACACACAGGAATTTGTTTAGGAAGGACAAACCATACAATCAGCCTTTCCTCGGCTGACTTGGGAGGACACTGGTCAGCAAAAGGATCAGAGTATCTCTCACCTAATTAAACAACAGATTTCCCCCCTTCCCCTTCTAGAATCCCTTTCTCAGAATTTAATGTACTTCAGAGAGAAAGTTGTGGCATCAACATTGTCCAAGAGAACCACCTGGATTTTTAATAGCATGAAAAGATGGCACCGACAATCAGTTTCCCAAGATCTGGAGGTGGAAATGGCCTGAGGAGCACAGTGCTGGGCATGTTACAGGGGAATCCCCCTCTAAGTGCCTAGCTCATGCCTGCAACATTGCAGGAGCTCAATAAATCTTTGTTCAAATGAATTATTGCTAAGATAGTAAAGGAATTGGGAGACAGCTGCTTCCCAGGGTGAGTGCTGTACTCCAGAAGGCAAAGAGGAACAAATCACACATTCTGGTCCTTTGGGACACTCCTAAAACTCAGCAGACCACAATCCTCACATTCCATAGCATTGAGGAACTCTTACTGCTGGGAGGAGAGGCATGAGCTCAGGAAAAGCTCACTCGGGGACCCAGAATCTAGCCCACCTCTGCTGGCTATATCATCTTCAGTTAAAAAAGGCCAAAATACATGTCACAATCCCTCTTTTTCTCTTTACGGACATTGCCACTTTCACTTTCAAGAAATCTCAATGAGGTATCGCTATTGACCTTATCTTCTAGACAGGAAAAACGAGGCTAGTGGGGTTTTTTGTAGGGGTGGGGGTTGGTGATGACTTTAAAAAAACCCATTATTTTATTGAGGTCATATTGGCTTATAAAATTGTGTAAATTTCAGGTGTACATCATTATATATCAGTTTCTGTATAGATTGCATCATATTCACCACCAACAGTCCAGTTTCTATCTGTCACCATACATATGTGCCCTTTTACCCCTTTCACCTTCCCCCTCCCACCCTTTTCCCCTCTAGGAACCACTGATCTGTTCTCCTTATCCATGTGTTTATCTTCCATATATGAGTGAAATCATATAGTGTTTTTCTTTCTCTGTCTGACTTATTTTACTTAGCATAACACCCTCAGGGTCCATCCATGTTGTCACAAAAGGCTTGATTTTGCCTTTTTTATGGCTGAGTACTATTCTACTATCTATCTATCTATCTATCTATCTATCTATCTATCTATCTATCTATATACTACATCTTCTTTATCCATTCATTTGTTGATGGGCAGTTGGGTTGCTTCCACATCTTGGCTATTGTGAATAATGCTGCAATGAACATAGGGGTGCATATGTCTTTTTGAATTATTGATTTCATGTTCTTTGGATAAATACCCAGTAGTGGAATAGCTGGATCATATGGTATTTTTAACTTCTTGAGAAATCTCCATACTGTTTTCCATAGTGGCTGCAACAGTTTTCATTCCCAGCAAGAGTGTTTGAGAGTTGCCTTTTCTCTACATCCTCTCCAACACTTGTTATTTCTTGTCTTGTTAATTACAGCCATTCTGATGGGTGTGAGGTGATATCTTGTTGTAGTTTTGATTTGCATTTCCCTAAAAATTAGTGATGTTGAACATCTTTTCATGTGTCTGTTGGCCATCTGTATATCTTCTTTGGAAAAATGTCTGTTCATATCCTTTGCCCATTTTTTAATCGAGTTGTTCATATATTTTGGAAATTAACCCTTGTCAGATATATGATTTGAAAATACTTTCTTTAAGTTGATGGGTTGTCTTTTCATTATTTTCATGGTTTCCTCTGACTTGCAGAAGCTTTTTAGTCTGATGTAGCCCCATTTGTTTATTTTTTCTTCTGTTGCCCTTGCCTGAGTAGACATGGTATTCGAAAAGATGCTACTAAGACCAATGTCAAAGAGTGTACTGTCTATATTTTCTTCTAAGAGTTTTATGGTTTCAGGTCTTACAGTCAAGTCTTTAATCCATTTTGAGTTAATTTTTGTGTAGGGTGTGAGATAGTGGTGGTCTACTTTCATTCTTTTGCATGTGGCTGTCCAGTTTTCCCAACACCATTTATTGAAGAGACTTTCCTGTCTCCATTGTATGTTCTTGGCTCCTTTGTCAAAGATCAGATGTCCATAGATGTGTGGTCTTATTTCTGGGCTCTCAATTCTGTCCCATTGATCTGTGTGTCTGTTTTTCTGCCAATACCATGCTGTCTTGATTGCTAAAGCTTTGTAGTATATTTTGAATTCAGGGAGCATGATATTTCCAACTTTGTTCTTTTTTCTTGGGATTGTTTTGGCTATTCGGGGTCTTTTGTTGTTCCATATAGATTTTAGGATTCTTTATTCTATTTCTGTGAAGAATGTCATTGGGATTCTGATAGGGATGGCATTGAATCTGTAGATTGCATTAGGTAATATGAACATTTTAACTATGTTTACTCTTCCAATCCATTAGCATGGAATATCTTTTCATTTCTTTATGTCTTCTTCAATTTCTTTCAATAACGTCTTAGGGTTTTCAGTGTATAGGTCTCTCACCTCCTTGGTTAAATTTACTCCTAGGTATTTTCTTCTTTTTGTTGCTATTGTAAATGGGATTGTACTCTTGATCTCTCTTTCTGCTAGTTCATTGTTAGTGTATAGAAATGCAACTGATTTTTGTATGTTGATTTTGTACCCTGCAACTTTACTGTATTCATTGATTATTTTCTAATAGTTTTTGGGTGAATTCTTCAGGGTTTTCTACACATAGAATCACATCGTCCACAAATAGTAACACTCCTACTTTTCCTTTTCCAATTTGGATAAGTTTTTTTCTTGTCTAATTGCTCTGGCTAAAACCTTTGGCACTATGTTGATAACGGTGGCAAGAGTGGGTCTCCTTGTCTTGTTCCTGTTCTCAGAGGAACAGCTTTCAGTCTTTCACCATTAAGTATGATGCTGTCATATATGGCCTTTATTATGTTGAGGTAATTTCCTTTTATACCCATTTCATTGAGAGTTTTTATCATAAATGTATGTTGGCTCTTATCAAATACTGTCTCTGAATTTTTTGGGATGGTCACGTGGTTTTCATTCCTCATTTTGTTAATGTGGTGTATCACATTGATTGATTTGTGGGTATTGAACCATCCCTGCATCCCTGAAATAAATCTCACTTGATCGTGGTGTATGATCCTTTTCATGTATTGTTGTATTCAATTTGCTAAAATTTTGTTGAGGATTTTTGCATCTATGTTCATCAGCAACATTGGCCTGTAATTTTCCCTTTTTGTTGTTGTTGTTCTTGTCTAGTTTTGGTATCAGGGTAATGTTGGCCTCATAAAAGGAGTTAGGAAGTTTCCCGTCCTCTTCAATTTTTCAAAATAGTTTGAGAAGGATAGGAATTAAATCTTTGAACATTTGGTAGAATTCACCAGAGAAGCTGTCTGGTCCTGAACTTTTGTTTTGGGGGAGAGTTTTGATTACTGTTTCAATCTCTTACTTGTGATTGGTCTATTCAGGTTCTCTCTCTTCTTGATTCAGTTTTGAGAGGTTGTATGATTCTAAGAACTGATCCATTTCTTCTAGGTTATCCAATTTGTTGGTGTATTGCTTTTCATAGTATTTTCTTATAATACGTTGTATTTCTGTAGGGTCCACTGTAATTTCTCCTCTTTCATATCTGATTTTATTTATTTGAGCCTTCTCTCTTCTTTTCTTAGTGAGTCTGGCTAAGGGTTTGTCAATTTTGTTTATCTTCTCAAAGAACCAGCTCTTAGTTTCATTGATGCTTTCTATTGTTTTTTCAGTCTCTACTTTGTTTATTTCTGCTCTGATTTTTATTATTTCCTTCCTTATACTGATTTTGAAGTTTGTTTGTCCTCCTTTTTTCCTAGTTTTCTTAGGGACAGTGTAAGATTGTTTGAGATTTTTCTTGTTTCTTGAGGTAGGTTTGTATTGCTATAAATTTCCCTCTTAGGATTGCTTGTGCTGCATCCCATAAGTTTTGGTATGTTGTATTTTCATTTTCATTTGTCTCCACGTATTTTTTTATTTCTCCTTTGATTTCTTCATTGATCCAATAGTTGTTCAGAAACATGTTCTTTAGGCTGCACATATTTCTGACCTTCTCAGCTTTTTTCTTACAGTTGATTTATAGTTTCATGGCATTGTTAGAAAAGATGCTCGGCATAACTTCAATCTTCTTAAATTTATTGAGGCTTGCTTTGTTTCCCAACAGATGATCTATCTTCAAGAATGTTTCATGCACACTTGAGAAGAATGTGTATTCTTCTATTTTTGGATGGAATGTTCTATATATATCTATTAAGTCCATCTGGTCTAATGTTTCATTTATGGCCACTGTTTCCTTATTGACTTTTGTTGCTTTATATACTTTGTTGCTCTTGTGTTAAGTGTATATATATTAATAAGTCTTATATTTTCTTGGTGGAGTGTCCCTTTTATCATTATATAATCCCCATCTTAGTCTCTTGTTATCTTGAAGTCTGTTTTGTCTGATATAAGTATGGCTATACCCACTTTCTTTTGCTTGCTATTTCCTTGGAGTGTTATCTTCTAGCTCTTCACTCTGAATCTATGTTTGTCTTTAGAGCTGAGATGTGTTTCCTGGAGGCAGCATATTGCTGGGTCCTGTCTTTTAACTCATCAAGCCACTCTATGTCTTTTGATTGGTGAATTCAATCCATTTAAAGTGATTATTGATATATGAGAGCTTAATATTGCCATTTTATCTTTTGTTTTCCAATTGTTCTATATTTCCATTGTTTATTTTTCCTTGTATTTCTTTCTGCCATTTCAGTTTTGTGGTTTTCGGTTACGTTTTTCTCAATTTTCTCTTTATTTATGATTAGCGACTCTACTCTGATTTTTTGTTTTGTGGTTACCATGAGGTTTGTAGAAAAGATCTTAGATGAGATAGTCCTTTATCTGATAGCCTCTTATCTCCATTAGCCTATGTGGGTTCTGTCCCTTTCCTCTTTCCCTTCTATGTTTCTGTTGTCACAGATTATTCCTTTTTGTGTTGTGAGTTTGTGACCAAATTGAAGTGGTTATTTTTGATCCTTTCTTTCTCTTTATCCTTTAAGTTATAATTGAGTGTTTACTAACCTATTCTGATATAGAGCTGCAATTTTCTGATTCTGTCTACTTATTTCCTTGCTCAAATCTTTGTAAACCTTTGCTTTTTTGTTTCAGGCAGGAGGGCTCCTTTCAACATTTCTTGCAAGGCAGATCTAGTGGCAATGAACTCCCTCAGCATTTGTTTGTCTGGGAAAGCTTTTATTTCTCCAAAATATATGAAAGATAATTTTACTGGATAGGGTATTCGTGGCTGAAAGTTTTTTGTCTTTCAGTATTTTTAATATATCACTCCACTCTCTCCTAGCCTGTAGGATTTCTGCTGAGAAATCTACTGAAAGCCTGATGGGAGTTCCTTTCTAGATTTTCTTCTGTCCTGCTGCCCTTAATATTTTTTCTTTGTCATTGACTTTTGACAGTTTTAATATTATATGCCTTGGAGAAGGTCTTTTTGCATTGAAGTAATTAGGAGTTCTGTTAGCTTCTTGTATTTGCATGTCCAGTTCCTTACCCAGGTTTGGGAAGTTCTCAGCTATTACTTCTTTCAATAAGCTCTCTTCTCCTTTCTCCCTTTCTTCTCCATCTTGGATACCTATAATCCTTATGTTACTTTTCCTAGTTGAGTCAGATATTTCTCAAAGAAATTCTTCATTTAAAAAAAAATGTTAATTCTCTCTCCTCCTCCACTGGAATCATTCCTAGCTTTCTATCTTCAAGGTTACTAATTCTCTCCTCCATGTGGTCTGCTCTACTTTTAATGTTTTCTGAATTAATTTTCATCTCATTAATTGTGTTCTTCATCTCCAAAATTTCTGGGTTTTTTTTTTTAGTTTCAATCTCTTTGGTGAAGTACTCCTTCTGTTCATTAATTTTACTTCTGAGCTCACTGAACTATCTTTCAGAGTTTTCTCATAACTCATTGAGTTTCCTTATGACACTTATTTTGAATTCTCTGTTACTTAGATTGTAATCTTCTGTGACTTCAAGTTTGGTTTCTGGAGAGCTGTCATTCTCCTTCTGTTCTGCCATGTTACTGTAGTTCTTCAAGATGTTTGATGAATTGATCCTCTGCTGGTGCATTTGTGGTAGTAACCACCTTTCTTATTTGGGGAAAGCTTTGTTTACTTTGATTCTGAGCTGCTTCTGGTTATATTTGAGAACCTGCCCTTTCCGCCCTTCACCGCCTCTGCCAGAGGCATCATCAATGCCCTCCTTGTGCTGTTTGTGCTTCTGAAGTTGTTCATGCCTTGCTGCTTATGATATTGCTGCAGTCTCAGGTGACACCACTGCCGTCACCAGGCTGTGAGCACTTCTGCTGCTTCCTGGGTCACCTAGGTTTCATGTTCTTCCACTGACTCTCCAGGGCTTGGATGCTGCTGCCCCATGCACCACCTGTGCTGCTGCTCCTGGGTTGTCTGGGGATGCTGGCTGCACTGCTACTAGGGGTGCTGGGTTCACAGGTGTTGCTGCCGGGGTCTGAGGGACCTGGGGACTCATATGCAGCCCCTGCTGCTGGTGGAGCTGGTGTCGGGGATGCCACCACTGGGGGCTGGGTCATCAGTTCTGCTGTGGTTCCTGAAGTTCTGATTGTATTTTCCACCTGCCACCACTAGGGGGGAGCAGGGGCTAAGTAGGGAGAGGTTTTTGTTCATGCTCACTGTGTAGCCTCCGGTCTCTGTCGCTAGCTGGCATGTTTTGAGAACTCAGGTCAGGGCACCCTGCTCCAGCTGGGAAAATTCAAGCTTTTTTTTTTTTTTTTTAAAGGTATGCATTTTTTTTGGTGAGGAAGATTGGCCCTAAGCTAACACCTATTGCCGACCCTCCTCTTTTCTTTTTTTTCTCCCCAAAGCCCCAGTACACAGTTGTATATCCTAGTTGTAAGTTCTTCTAGTTCTTCTATGTGGGATGCTGCCATGGCATAGCTTGATGAGTGGCATGTAGGTCAGTGCCCAAGATCTGAACCAGTGAACCCTGGGCTGCTGAAGTGGAGCACATGAACTTAACCACTACACCACTGGGTGGGCCCCAAAATTTGAGTTTTGTATACTTTCCCTACCGTGAGAAAGACCCGGCCATTGCTAGAGGAGGGGGAGGGGCATTTGCGCTAGATCTGCTGGGAGACGGTCAGGGAGCAAGCCACGTCTGCCTTCTCCATTCTTGCCACAACCGCTTGCAGACATTGGGGGTGGAAGGCAGGCAGATTGGCTGGGAGATGTGCAGGGAGAAAGCTGTGCCTGTTTTTTCTTTTTCTTTTTTGTTTTCTGCCCCCATGATAACTCACAGGCATGTGGGCCAGTGTGAAGATCTGAGCCCTAGATTGCTAATGCTGGGGGTTGGGGGGCTGCTCCTCTAGTTCCACTGCTTCCCAGGGTCTAGTCCACCCATCTTCAGATGTACAGGTGCATGGATCTCTTAGGTGTCCTGTTGTGCCGTGTAGGGAATCCTCTATTGGCCAATGGGTGTCCAGTTGGTTGTAACTTAGAGGGGAGCAGCAACGGGAACTCACTCCACCGTGATGCTGATGTCACTCCTGGTCTACTGTTTTTTCACGGACAGTCAGTGAAAAAAGTCATTCACAAAGTCATTCATGGGTAAGGTCCCCCCAGGAATCTCATATCTATTCGTTGTTTTGTTGTTAAAGCTCTATTCATTTACATTTCTCCCAGCCGTTTTTCTACCCAACTCTATTTTTTTTTTTGGTTTGTTTTGCATATGCAGGAAGTCAGTAAGGGAGCTAGGATTAGAACATGGCTCTATGTACCATCCACACCTCATTCCTTTGTCCTTGTTCTCATGCCTGCCCTTGACCTTCCCTTCTGGCCTGTTCAGTCACAGGAAGGAAGCCTGAAGGGAGAGGCAACTGTTTTCATAGAGTAAAAATGCCTCCTACAGAACTATACCCAAGGGCTGTGCTTTTTTTCTGAGACCAGTTCTGACAGCTAAGAAGGCTGGGGCCCAACTGGCACAGTCCAATACCTTTGTCCTGTCACCTCCTGCCACATCAAGCCTTTGGCACAGTACTGGCTACTCAATCTCTGCCAGGCCTGCACCATCTCTGCCCAAACCATCGTGGGTGGTGTCCAACATGTTCAGGGTTGATACAGATTGGGACGGGGCCATAACTGTGTGGACAACTTTTTCTTCCATGGAGGCAGGATTTGTAGGAGCAATAGAAGCATCGCCATCCTTCTTCCCTCCTTTTCTTTGACTTTCTCATGTGACTTCTGATGAACAAGCTCCCTGTCCACATACAGACCCCTCTCACCTCCCAGAAGAAGAGTTATGTGCCTACTGAACCCTCACCTCTTCTCTGGCTTTAGAAAATGTTAATCCTGAGACAACATGTCTGCACAGTTTGGCCCAGAGCTTCCTGACCGCACCCACATACCAGCACAGTGCCAGCTAAGGCAGTGATCTATTGTTTCCACACAGTGGGCAGGGTTGGCCATTGGGCACTAAGGCCACCTGGGTGGAACAAGCCTCTTCAAAGCAGGGTGGCTCCAAAGCACTTGGCTAAAGTTTGTTTGCTGGCCCTTAGAGAGAGTAAATCAGGGGTGTGGAGCCCAGAACTTTTCTAGAAGAAGATCATGGCAATTAAAAATCAATGCCAAAAAATCTTTCAGTCAATTAGTAACAAAACACCATTTCTATGGAGTTCTAAGCTCCATTCTCAGAAAAATCAAAACCCACAGTGATGGGTGGCCATTATGCCTAGATGGGATAAAACAGAAGATGCTAGAGCCTCTCCTCAACTTTTATTGACCCACCATGTGGGTACTGAGACACGGTTCTTCCTTCTGATATCTCTTTTCCAGATGTAGAATGTGGTAACTACTGTTAAAGCCCATTTCAAATCTTTTTTTTTTTTTTAAAGGAATGATTGGCTGGTGGAGCTGCTGCTTTAACTATATATGAAATAATCAAACATAACTTTTAGCCAGCAGACTCAACTCTCTAAAGAAATTTATAGCATGAAAAAGAAAGAAGAGGATGGACAAAATTACTAAGGCAAAGGAAGACGGCACAAAGGTTACAGGTGTGTGGCATCCATCCACTCAATAATCCCACTGTAGCAGTACACCTGGGTTCCAAGTAGCGTCAACCAGAGATCTAAGGAAGACAATGAGCATCACAGACTGAACTCAGCTCGCTTCGAGGCTAGAGGTGGAGAACTGTAACTGCACTATTGCTCCAATTTCTTGGAGATTGGCTAGTAGAGACCACTCCCTTAAGAGTTCTTCCTGGTCTGGGCCAAAATTGAGTCCTCCTCATTCCTCTCATCTTTTTCAGCAATATAGAAAACAGTTCCGTTTGTCAGCTACTTACGCACAGCCCGAAACAAATCATCTTCCTCCTTAGCCGCTGTATAACACACACACAGTCCCAGGAGCTATGCTGCCTTTCAGGTTCTGAAGAGCTGGAAATAAAGACCAAAAATAATGTAAGGTCTCTTGGGTACATAGGGATGCTATTCCCTACTCCATAGCTCAGTTTAGCTTGTTTTCTAGACACCATTATTCAAAATTACACAGCATGAAAATGCACTGTCAGGGAGGCCACTGCTAATGTCACCTGGATGCCACTAGATGCTGCTGGTCAAGCCTCTGCCTAGATTTCTTGCAACGATTCCATGGCATTGGTCATGGTGAGCAAACAACAGAGGGTTTCTTTGATCTCTGGGCACTCCTTCCACAAGCCATGCTGATCAGCCATCTAGAAGTCCACAAGCCACTTGAACTTCTAAGCCCCTTGACCTCTCTGAACTGAAGTCAGAGTAACTTTTGGACTCAAGCTTGCTTGGTTTCCTGATAAATAGTACTTTGAAAACTCTTTCATTAACTTTTAAAAAGGCCAGCTTGAAATGTCATCATTGAAATCTATTGCATTTAAATCTTAGAGCATTGAGAATCAGAATGTCAGATCTAAAAGCAACATCAGAGATGATCTAAGCCAGGTGCTCTGAACTTGGGGGTGAATACCTTTGAAGGGTTCATGGAAGGCCTTCGGGGACCTGTGAATCTTTTAAAACATACTCAATTTTGTGTGTATGTGTACTTATACTATTTTTTTAAGGGAGGGGGCCACAGCTTTCATTAGAGTCTTTAAAAAGGACTCCAAGGGACCAACTTGTTTTGGAGATGAGAAAACTGGGCTCCTTAAAAGTAAAAGGGTAAGATGGCTGGAACAGGCTGGGTCACCTGACTTTGAGCTCTTTGCACTACATACTATTTATCTGAAAAATCTTATTAGACTTCAGTTAAACATGGTGAACACATGGCTTTGTTGATTTCTTTCTGAAATGCCACTAATATGATGATAAAGGAATGAAATAAGTATGACCCAGTAAGGACAAAGAGAATGCAAGAGTAGACAGCAGCAGGTGAGAGCTGTCAACGAAATCTTAGAGAATGGACAAATAAGTGGAAATGACCTTAGCATAGCAGAAAAAGGCAGAACCTAAGACCCCAGAGAAGAAAGCTCCCAGCAGCCATCTGGTAGCTGTACAGAATGGCGGAAAGGCTCAGGGGATGGGACTGAAAACAGAGGACTGACTGGGAGTCTGTAGAAGGCCTCTGTTAAATTTTGGTCTTCTCTCCCGTCCTCCCCAACACAAGTTTCACACTCTGGAGAGCTTGTACTGGAGCAGCTCTGGACTTAGGGATATTAGGCACAGCCAAGGAAGAATTAGGTGCCTTAGTAAAAAGAAGGGTTAAATTTAAGTCCATATTCTGAACAGTGAGACTCCCAGACTCTTTCCTCAGTTCAGCTTCCAGAATCTGGCAGCCAGGCTTGTACCTCTGTGCTGGACAACTCAGTCAACTCATGGCCAATCACCATGCCCGTCTAAGGCTGGGAACCATGTTTCCCAGAACCCCTTTCCCTGTATGGTTCCGGGTTCCAGTTGCCAGTGAGAGGATTGTGCCTCAGATTTGGGACGCATAAGTGAACTCCATCATTCCAGTGGTCAGATGCGCTGGGTTCATGGATCTCCCCACAGAGCTCCCACTTTGCAGCCCCCTTTGGTGGGTAGGTGCTGTGTCTTCTCAGATTTTACTGAGACCTCCAGCTTCTCCTGCTCCAGCGCTGTGGATCAAGTCTCCAGTGTATCCAGAATTTCACTAATTCCCTAGGTGCACCTTTAAAGACCTTCCCTCCCTCAGCAACTCCCACAATGTGGAGGCCATGATACCTGTATTAAACACTTTCTTCTGGTAAAATCAGTAGCGATTCTGTTTGACTGAGCCTCACTGATCAAACCCCCAGCAGGAGACTCAGGGATTCATCTCTGAGGAAACTGACCAGACCGAGAGAGAGAAAGCAAACAAACCTATAAATGATGATATTGGGAGTCCTCAAGGAAACAGCTGAATCTCCATCCGAGCACCCTCTCCTAGTTTTCTATTGCTGCTGTGACGAATTCCTACAAGCTGAGCAGCTCGCAACAACACAGATTTATTGTCTTCCCATTCTGGAGGCCGGAAGTCTGACACAGGTCTTATGGGGTAAATCCACGTGTTGGCAGGGCTGTGCTCCCTTCTCAGAGCTCTCGGGGAGATTCTGTTTCCTTACCTTTTCCAGCTTCTACAGGCCCATTGCATTCCTTGGCTCAGGGCCCTCTTCCTCCATCTTCAAAGCCAGCAGCGTTGAGTCTCTCTGTGCCTTTCTTCCACAGTCACGACTCCCTCTGACCACAGCTGGCAAAGGTTCTCCGCTTTTAAGCACTCCTGTGATTAGATGGATTCCCCCCTGGCTAACGCAGGCTACCCTCCCATCTCATGGGCCTTAACCTGAATCACCTGTGCAAAGTCCCTTCTGCCACATAAGGGAACATTTTCATAGATTCTGGGGATTAGGATGTAGACATCTTTGGGGGGTCATTATTCTGCCTACCACACACCCTAAAATGAGGCCGACCAGTTGATAAGTCCTGATAAGGTATAGAGAGCTTCCAACAGTTTTAAGGCCCCATCCTTAAATACGAATGGATAGTCAAGGATCATCAGACATCGGAGCAAACCTCTAACACGAAAGACACCACCAAAACCGGAAACACGAAGAACCTGGAAGAAACAGAGACAATGTAGGGAGCAGAAAACTTTAAAAAGAAACAAAATACCTATTTAACATCCTCAGAAACATATGTGAACCCTCAAAACAGGAACAAATGCTAAAACAAACAAAAACAAAACCAAAACTTTCAGATAGCAAAAATACATCAGCAGTAATCAGGATTCAGTGTTAAGTTTTGGAAACACAGGTGGGAATTTTCCCAGAAAGTAGGACAAGATCAAAAAGATGGAAAACTGGAAAGGAAAAAATAAGAAAAACCACAGAGGTAGTCCAGGAGGTCCAACACATGAAGAATAATAGTTCTAGAGAAAAAGAACAGTGAAAATAAGGAGAGGAAATTCTCTAAGAAATAACAAAGGAATGTTTCCTAGGGTTGAGACATAAACCTTCAGGTTGAAATGGACACTAAATGCCTGGCCAATAAATGAAAAAGACCTCTGTCATGGCGCAAAATTATGAAATTCAAACAACACAGGGGATAAACAGAATCTCTAAAACTTCCAGAGAACAAGGGCCAGAAGTCAGCATTGTCTCAGCCTCAGGCCTCTCAACAACACTGAGAACTAGACAACAAGTAATGGAGACAAAATGTTTTTGCAGTCAGGAATTCCGTAACTAGTCAAATTATCAATAAAATACAAGAATAAAATGAAAAGCCTCAAAAAATTACCTCCCGGAAATCCTTTCTTAGGACACTACTGAAGAGTGTGCACAAAAAGCGGTAAGAGGAGAGGATGAGAATTAAAAGTAAAGCCAGAAAGATCCTGGGATCCAGGGTGGGGAATCCAACCCAGGAAAGAATAAAGGCTATTTCCAGGATGGTAATGAGGTTAAGCCCCGGAGGATGGCTGGGAAATGGGCCCAGAGAGCAGCCAGTCCAGCTCGCCACAGGAGGATGCACGGCTCCGAGAAAAAAATGCACCTGAATGATTGTGGGCGGGGCCTGAGAACGCTGAGATGGGTGTTAAAGTTCTGTAGTAAAGACCAGGAATTAAATAAGTATATGGAAAATTAAGCAAATAAAAAATTACGAAATTATTGATTTCAGAATTTAGAAAGTTTTAAAAGGAAATGTAAAACTACGTGGCTATGCTATCAACAGTATTTATATAATTATCAACACTAATTCTTGATTGAACCAAAAATCGTGCTGTCATCAAGCTGTGAGGGTCAATGTAGTAGTACACATATGTGTGTTGGTGTCAGAGCTAAACCCTCATTTCCCATAATACACCAAGTAAAAAAGTAAAGTCAAAATGAAAAACTAGCAATAGGAGCATTTTAAATGGAGGGAAATGTCAGAACAGATAAATGGGCTGACAGTGGCTCCTTGTGGGAGGGCAGAGGACAGCCCTTTGTCATTGTAGGACTCAGTGATGTCCGACTTGTTAGTCTTTGGACATGTATGACACTGAGAGAAATAACGTGAATGTAAAGAACAACCAGCCAAATGCCCATCAAACCAATGAATGGATAAACAAAACGTGGTCTACTCAAACAAAGGAATTTGACTCAGCCACAAAAGGGAATGAAGTACAGATATGTGCTACAACATGGGTAGACCTTAAACACACGTGCCAAGTGAAAGAAGCCGGTCACAAAAGGCCACACATTGTGTGATCCTGTTTGTATGAATGTCCAGAACAGGCAAATCCATAGAGAGCAGATGAGTGGTTCCAGGGAGATGGGGAACGAGGCGGGCCTACGTAATGGCTGCAGGGTGATGAAAATGTTCTGGAATTAGTGGAGATTGCTGCACAATGTCAGGAATGTACTAAAAGCCACTGAAGTGCATACTTTAAAATGGTTAAAATGGTGAATTTTATGTTATGTGAATTTTACCTCAATAAAAAACTGTAAAGAACACAACATAATGGATTCTGTCTATACAGTATTCAATCCCTATTTTATTTTTTGGCTAAATGAATATTTCAAATATTACAGTATTAATTCTTCAGTAAACTTAACAGCTTGCTTTCTTGTCATGTGACACTTTCATTTCAAAGTTGAGACATGCAGAAAAGAATGAATTCAGAGTTCTGGGAAGCAATGTGTTGTGAGTGAGGTTACACTGTGTTTTGCTCCTTTTTCTCCAATTACACTTCATTTCTACCTCCTTTGGCATCCCCTCCTTCTGCAACATCTTTCACTGTCTGTTTGTTTTCAGTAGTCAATTTCTGAAAATCAGGAGAGTCATTATAGCTACAAAGAAGAGCTGAACCCCTCAGGGTCAAGCTAAGCAGCAAACCTCAGTTGCTAAGATTCGAGGGCTCATGTGCGCATTATTTTCAGTTTAAGTTTGTTTCTGTCATTATTTTCATTTTTTATGGCTTATTTGGGTTTTTTAGTAGGTCGCCAAGAAGATTTTTAAAATCTTGTCTTGTTTATGACTTTTTAGGATCTATTCAAATCTTAGCTGCTTATTATTTTCTCCTAAGTCAACTGATTTTCTCATTTATACACCATATTTTAAAAATTCAACCAAGAGGGTATATGCAGAAGTAGGAAGCCCGTTCTCCTTTAAGCAACATCACTCTCTTTCCTAAAGATTTTACTTTTATGTAGATTGTTCTTTAAGAGTCACCTGGAAATGTTGCAAAATAATGCAGCTAAATGTTTAAGCAATTGGGAATAGGAAGTTTATTATCCTTTTTCACAATTTTGTTTGCAAAATGCTCACAACTATCAAGTGGTTGTAGTACATTATTAAGTCACTGGAAAATTCTAGCAATATAAATCGATACTAAAGAAAAATCCAGAAAGACTAAGTGAATGGCCAGGATCACATGGCATAGGAATTAAGAAAAAAGGGAATTATTACTTTTAGTTGAATAGTTTGGATATAAATAGTTACAAGAAAATTAAGTACTTCCATATTATATAAATAAAAATCAATTTGTATCAACTTGTAATGCAAAATAACCATTTTTGAATCTGGTAATATTTGATACAGTTATTAAGAAATGAAAATCAAAAAAGTTTTAGTTTATTAAAACATTATTCCTTTTTAGTAAGGTATACTTGACTTTTTTAAAGTATTTTTGACTTGTTAGGGTCTTATCATTTTTTATTTGTTGCCACTCCCACCTCCCCATCAGTAATTTCACATAATGGACATTTTCAGTTGCTAACATAATGGTTATTTTTCCAAATAATTATAAACAAGACTCCTCATTAAAAGACTTTGTTAATATCCCTTTATTATCTATGGATAAATCTCCAAAATTTTAGGAAACATATATATATTTCTTCTCTCTTTCTATACACACACACACACACACACACACACACAGAGTTATGGAGCTTGATATCATTAGGCTATTAAAAACATGACACCAATCCTGGAATAGAAAAAGGACATTAGTGGAAAACTAGTGAGATGTAAGACAAGTCTGAAATTTACTCAAGAGTGACGTACCAATGCTGGTTTCTTAGCATTGACAAATGCACCATGGTTATATGATATTAACAATGGAAGAAACTGGGTGAGGGAGAGAACTTTCTGTACTATCTATCTTGGCAACTTTTCTGTAAATCTAAAGTTATTCCAAAGAAAGTTTATCTAAAAAAATAAGGTACCATAAGCAGAAAGTTTGAGTCTAGATACGGGTACTATGAACTGTATTAATTATCTATTGCTGCATAAGAAAGAACCCCAAAATTTTGTGGCTTAAAACAACAAACATTTATTATGTCACAACTTCTGTGGGCCAGGAGTCTGGGCACATTGTAACTGGGTCTTCTGGCTCGGGGTCTCTCACAGGCTGCAATCAAGGTGTTGGCTGGAACTGCAGGCATCTCCAGACTCGTTGCAGGAGGATTCATCTTCGAGCTCATGTGGCTCTTGGCAGGCCTCAGGTCCCAGTCCCAGTGAGCTGTTGCCTTAAGACCTCAGTTCCTTGACATGTGGGCCTCTCCACTGGGCAGTTCCTAATATGGCAGGTGGTTTTCCTTAGAAAGAGAGAGAGAGAAAGCGAGCGAGCAAACACAAGCACGACTTAATCACAGTCTATTGTAATCTCATCTAGGAAGTGACATCCCATCACTTTTGCCGTGTTCTGTCCCTAAGAGGCAAGTCACTGGGTCCAGCCCACACTCAAGGGGAGGAAATCACACAGGGCATGAATGCAGTAGGTGGGGATCAATGCGGGCCATTTCAGAGACTGCCTACCAAATGAGCACGCCCAACATTATTACATCTACCACTATGAAGAGAACACGACTGATGAAGAGCGTAGGCACCAGAATCAGCGAGATCTGGGTTTGCGCTCTTGCATAAACACTTGATAGTTACATGACCTCAGACAAATTATTTAATTCTTCTCAGTTTGTTTTCTCATCTACAAAATGGGAATGATGATGATAATAATACTTCATACGACTATTTTGAAATGAAATAATTCATGTAAAGTGCTTAGCAAGTAGCTAGCACAAAATAAGGCTCAGCATTAGCTGCTATCATCATCATCATCCACTTATTATCTGATTTAGAATTCAAATCTAATACTGACAGGCTGTGAAATCACAGGCAAGTTCCTTAACTTTTCTGTGCTTCTATTTCCCATCCATAACATGGGAGATATACTACCCACCTCACAGGGCTGTCTGGAGGGCCGGGCGGTAATCGTGTGGTTGGCACTCAGTAGCTGTAAATTATTATTTTTAATGGCTTCAGTCTGCTTAGCATACATTTATTACCTTTTTAAGTTGGGGCACGTCTGTTTTTGTGTCTTCAGCTGAAAAGACACATGACTCCCTAACTCATTAAACATATCCAATTTCTAATTATTTATGCATATAGACTAAAGAAAACACATGAATAATCCATAATGGAAGATACATCAAAATCATATTTAAAGTTTTAGAGAGGGATATATGCTCTTTGAAGCAAATTTATGTTCTTCTATTTAACTTAGGTCACTGTTGTAAGTAGTTTTCATCCCCCATGCATGTGGCAAATGAAAATGTAGAGAAACTATGAATTGGCTGAAAAATGGAAGCAGTAGCGCAGAAGGAAAGTTTGCCACAGACATCTACACAGAGGATATTGTATATGTGTGTTGTTATGTGTAAGAATTGAATGTACGTACAGTCATGTGCCGCATAATGACGTTTCAGTCAACGACAGACCACATAGACCAAGGGGGTCCCATAAGATTGGCACCATACAGTCTAGGTGTGCAGTAGGCTAGGTTTGGCTAAGTACACACTATGATGTTCACACAACGACCAAATCGCCTAGTAACATATTTCTCAGAATGTATCCCCGTGGTTAAGCGACACATGACTGTCACAGCATGTGCTGCTGTTATCTCCTGCCCCTCCTAAATCATGAATCTTACGGGCCGCAGAGAAGACTGGTGAGTAAGCAAGTAATCACAGGGCAATAAGAAAGCCTTATAAGGTTCTTAAGGAGGACAGAGAAGAAAGCTACATCCGTGCTCAAGGTCTTAACGTTGAAGATAAGCACACAATTGAGTCAGGGTTGAAGAATTAGCTGGAGCTCCCAGGCTGAGAAGGAGGAAGAGGAGAAGGAGCGGGAAGACCTGGACAGAGGAAGCAGTAAACATGGAGGTTTGGAAATGTGAAGGTACCTGGAGGGTCAGCAGCAGCAGGAGGCCCTGAGAAGGGGTGGCTGGGGACGGGGGGGGGTGGTATAGACAGGGGAGAGGATTTGAAGGATGGAGAAGGAAGAAAGTCACATGTGTGTTTTAGAAAGATAACTGGTGGCAACATAAACAGTGGACTGAAGGGGAGCAGTGGGGCAAGAAAGCCACTTAGGAGGCTAATGAGAGTACAGAGAAAGGGGTGGATTTTAGCGAGTTGAGAAAGAGCAGCAACCAGACCTGGTGAGTGTGGATGTGGTGGGGGTGGCGGGGGAGGCGGGGTGGGGACTGCAGGAAACGTCATCTGATTGCGGGGCGGGGGGGGGGGGGGGGGGGTCAGCTTTAACCATAGGGCAGAGCAGAGAGAACTGGTTTCCTGAAAAGACAACAACCATGGCTTTGGCTTATTAAATTGAGACAGATCTAAAATGGCAGGTTCAACTATCCAGGAGCCACTGAAAATCTGGAAATACTGAGTTCTGGAAAAATATCTGTGGCTAGAACTCTAGTTCTGGGGAAATCAGCACATGGTGGGTGTATTTGGAACCGGGGGATGTAAGTAAGATTAGTCAGGGAAAACAGCAGGCGAGAACGCAAAAGACGGAGTTTTGGGGAAATAACCAGAGGACAGAAAACGACGAAGGGAAATGATCTCATCTGATTTGCGTGGTGGACACAATGTTTTAGCTACAAATTCTGAGTCTTAGCCCTGAGGGGAAAGGGCATCCCAGACAAATCAGAGGTAGGAGCATCAAAGGCAGAGGTGGGTGTGGGAGGGAGGTGGGTGTGAGAGGGCGGGAAAGGTGGAGCTGAGCTGCGTTCAGCAGGGTAGGTATCAGTTGACTGTGAGGCCATCTAGCTTCTCTAGATCCAAGAGAAAACAGAAGCACAAGGCCTGGCACTCCCCCAGGTGCCCCTCCTGTTCTCCAGGATGCCGCAGGGAGACAGCCGGTGTTGGCAGCAGGCTGACCTTTGCTGAATTGGTACCTGGGGGCAGAAGAGCATAATGCCCCTGGGAGGTGCAGTGGCTGAGACAGCTCACTCTTAAGCCTTTTCTCCCCTTTGCTTGGACCTAGAAAACTCTGTTGTTCTCAGTCTAACAACTTTCCTCCCATAGTAAGAAAGTATAATTTAGGAAAACAGTTCCAGTACAACCTGTGGCTTTCTTCACCTTGCTTTCTAAACTGAACTGAAACATATTCACTAAGTTTCGTCCCAGACACAGAAACCTCGTCATCTGTACCATTTTTCCTCATGTGCCTTATTAGGCTGAACTTCTAGCCGGCTTGAGCCTGGCGCTGCCTTTTAAGAAAATGACCAGGTGGGAGTGTCCACGGATGCGGTCACGCAGCATCTCACTGCCAACACAAGCGACTCCCTCTCTGCTCCTTTCACGTGGTTCAAGGCAGTCGTGGGTTTCACCCATTTTTTTTCTAGGTATCTTGCATCAAAACAAAAATCCCCACAAATTCTGTGGAACTTCTCTAAAATATAACCATTAGTAATATGTTAATAGTTAACCATTTATTAGCATAACATATGTAATTCAAGGCAATGAAAAACTTAAAAACTGAAAGAAGAAAAACCACCTTGGTATTTCCACTTTGTATTTCTGTTTTCTCGTCTCTTATTCACAGCCCCAAAGGTCACCGATATATCTTCTCCTGTTCATCGGCTGCACGGTGCTCTTCCCCCATCATTATAACCGATTTCAGATGGTGCTAGAAAATTATATTGACTCTGAACACCAAAAGAAATCAGTCATCCTCTAAGGGGTCACAGGAGGACTTGTGGGTTGGGAGGGCCCGAAGATGAACAAATCCCCCACATATTCAGCCCTTTCACCCAAGCACGATGAAGTCTGTATTACAGAAAAAGCACCCCAGAAAGTTTATTACACAAACGAGTATAAAGTACTAATAATGAGACATCCCACACAATTAACTTGTTATTTATAATAGGCTGTTGGAATGGCTCAGCTACAACATCAGGCAACTTCTCACAACCGTCTGGTCTCTGCTTTCAAATTCTTCAGGGCTGTCCCATTCGCTCCTTTTGCCGCTGGTAGTGCAGCTGGTCTCCCCCAAGAACACTGATTTCAAATGGTGCTAGACAATCACTATTTAAATCTAAACCACCATATGAAACCAGCTTCCTGAAGAAGCTTTATGATCTGTTTGTTTTTTCTCTTTGAGGATGCTCTCTTAGCGTCAACTCAAGACAACCTAGAAAGGAAAAAGTTGAAACCTGGTTATGAGCTATTTACTTTGTGGTCTAAATAGACCTTTAGCAAATCGCATACATATATGTACTGATGTCACCAAATCTGGTGTTGGGGGACAAGCCTGGGACTCAATTCCTGAGCTTCCCAGACAAAGGTTCAGTTTTATCATTTAGAGGGAAGGGCACATGTGAACCCATTTACTCCCAGTGGGAAGTCACGGGAAACCCTGACTCAGGTGAAGAGGCAGAGCTCATCCTGGGGTCAAAGGACCCAGGTGCACGCTAACTAGAAGGTGGTGTGAACCTCACAACATACATATAAGTGGTACAAAGTAAGCAGGTGCTCTGGGAGAAGCTGAGGGAAATCCTTTCCCACACCTAGTCCTTTCACTTGGGAGATAATTTTGTTTGATTCTAAAGAGTACTATGACTTCAGGGCCCAAAGAGGACAGCTCATTGGAAATAGTTCAGAGGTAAGTAATACATTGAAGCTAATGAGATTCTAATTTTTTTTTTCCAGAATGGAATTCCTTAGATGCATCTATGAGTTAAGGATTTTTGTTAGCTTTACTTAAGATTCTCCTCTCCCACCTCCAAAAGTAAGGCTTTGTACTCTCAGCTCTCCTTAACAAATCATTTTTGGCCACAGTCTTTTCTCCTCCCACTATGGTTCTCGATATCATTTTCTTAGGAAGTCTACTGTCATTCCCTTTAGTGTCCCAGGGATCCAAGAAGATACTTGATGTAACTAGGGCCACTTAACTAAAGAGATGTGCGTTCTTTTTTATAACTGTTATGAAAACTTTCAGATTTACATTAAATTTGAATGACAAAAAAATGAATTCCTAAATTCATACCGCCTACATTCAACAATTACTCATTTTGCCATTTTTTGCTTTAGCTATGTTATCTCTATGTAAGATACGTGTATTTTTTGCTGAATCATTTGAAAGTAAATTGACAACCATTCCAACACTCTGCTCCTAACTTCTTGAGCATGTCTAAAAAAATGAGGTGACCCCCCCAAAAATGAGGCCATTCTTCATACAGTTATAATATCTTTATCATTCCTAAGAAAATGAGCAATTCCCTTAGTATCATCTAATATCCAGTCCGTATTTAACTTTTTCTACTTTCTCCAAAAAAGTCTTTTATAATTTTTGTTTGTTTGTTTTCAAACCCAGATTCCATCCAGGTTCACTCACTAAGATTCTTTAGTCTTTTTTAACTTAAAACACTCTCCCATCTTTTTTGGGTTTTATCATGATAGCGTCACCTGGTGAAAAGTAGGTTCTAATCCTGGCTGTACCATTCACTTAGTCTGTTCTCTTGGCTGATATCAATTAACTGAACTTTAGTTTCTCTTTTGACTTTCCTCATTTACAATGCTTACGGGAAGAACCTCTAATTACAAAGTGCCTGTGGCTGATGATTTCAAATGGGCTCAGCAGGATGCTAACAAGCCAGGAGGGGCAGGGTGTTTCACTTGAATGTTCTTACTCCTTATAGCCTTGACTCTTCCTTATAGCGCTTATCTCTTCATAGGAGATCCCAACACAAACTCATCATTCATAATGGAGAAGCATCCACTGCACACGCCTACTACTACCAGACTAGTTTTTTCATCTCTGAAAAAAGGGAACAGAACACTACGGTCTAGAGAGATGTGTCACAAGCACTTCATCCAAGATGCAACAGCTCATAGACTGCAAAGAAAGGCACATACTTTGTGAAGCAACTGGCAATTAAATATTTCAACTGGATAGTCAATTCAAGCATTTTAACTTGAAAGACTGCCAAGATAGAAGAATCACTGGAACTCTCAAATAGCGATTTCACTAACTTTGTGATTGATTTAGGGTCCACGGCATCCTTCTGTATATGCTATTCTAATTCGTAATATCAGTAACTGAACTTGTCAGATGCAGCCAGATTATTCTCATCAGTTAAAAAATCCGAAATCCAGAACAAAAGGTCCGTTTATTTTTTACTAATGACTAGTCATACCTTTTGCCTACTGCCACTTAGAAGTTTTTTCCAAATGATTTTGACACTTCGGTTATGGGGAAAATTTTCCTAAAAAACAGATTTCTTCCTTTTACTTATGTCTGATAAAAGCATATATATCTCATACATCAAATATATGCCACACCCGTATAGGTACATCCACACACACATGTATCCATACTATAGACACAACCACACTGTTTTGCTCCCTTAGCAGAAACAAATAGATATGGTAAGTTTTCTGTATTATCGTTTGAGTACGCTTTCTACAGAATTCAGGAGAAGAACAAAGATGGATATATTCTTTTGCATCTATGTCTCTTCATGTGAGCCCAGTTTGACAGGCCATTTTCAGCAGATAAAGCATAATAAACACAGAGATCAGTCAAAACTTCCCTTCAGATTTTAAGCCCCTTGGGGGGAAAGTGAGTTACTTAGTTGAGCTTGGGCTTCTGTTTTCACGTAATCTTCTAAAGCAAGAGGCCAGTTTCCTGAAAATAGATCTGCATGCAGAGACTGGCTACCAAATTAACATAGGGGAAAAAAATCTCATTGTTCGCTAGCAGGGAAACGAAAAAAAAAACCAGTTGGTAAATTAATAGGGGCTCATTCATTCTCCTTCCAGGACATGGACAAGGAAACAGGATGGCAGCAGCTGCTATCTGCTGGCTCTGCTGAGTCTTTCCGTGACATTCAACCGCGAGGAAAGATTTTACTCAGTGAACATTACCATGTTTCCATTCCTCCTTATCCTCCAGCTCCAACAATCAACCTGACTGTTCTGCATTTTTTAGGCCAGGATACTGTAGGGCTGAATTTCTGTAACTCAGGGTATTTCTATTTTAATCATCAACAATTTTTAGGTATTGCATCATTTGAAAGGAATGTTATTTTTTAACAACTCTTTCTCACACAGAGAACACACTTAAAATTGCAAAACTCTCCATCCCCAGCATTAAAATCATCACCTTTCAGGAACATCCTTCCTAATTGTCTCTCAGCCCACAAGCCATGAGAATGTGTTTCCATTTCAAAATCCAGTCTTCACTGTCGTACTTTATATGATGCTTTTTGAGCAGCTTGCCCTTCTTTGGATTTTTTTCTTCCAAATCTGATAGGAAAGTTGGAGCCTGAAATGTGAATCCATAAACCACACCAGTAACTCTCGTGTGGCAAAAGCGGAACAGTGGAAATACATTGTTTTCATTGAAGTGAAATGCCAGTCTGTTCTTGCATGAGCGAACTGGATTAAGATAACTTCCCTTGGGGATTCAGGTTCACAAGGAGACTGTATCTGACTACAAGACTTCTTTAAGAACGTAGTTTCAAAATGCTACGGACATCAGGTTACAACAGTCCTGACTGGAGAAAGTAAACCAGAATAGAGATGCAACTGTTACTGCTATGGAGCTGATCACCTAGTTGTAAGTCCTTCTCTCTCAACTCACATGCCTTTAGTGAAAGCTTTCCTGCAGGAAGCAGATGAACAAGGAGCGCAAGACCCGGAGCCGCGCTTCTGAGTTGAAGTCCTGGCTATGCTATTTACTAGCTATGTGATCCTGGGCAATCATTTAATTTTTCTGAGGTTGATTATCCTGATCTAGAGAATGGAGACATAAATTCCTAGACTGCAGTGGTTGTTAGGGTTATACGTAATTCAGTATATGGAAACATTCTATAATTTTTAAAGCACTACACAAACATTTATTTTATTAGATGGATCAGCACCCCGGAGCGCCTTTTCAGGGTGAAGCACAAAATGAACTGAGAAATGGACGGGAAGGTACTCTGAAAAATAGGGACAGCTTCCATTTTTGGAACACTCTGCGCCAGATACTGCTGCATGCTTTAATATGCATTTTCTCAACGTTCAAAACCACCTGACAAGGTTGGTGGTGTCATCTCCATTTCCCAGGTGAGGGAACAGAGATTTAGAACGGGGACATGACTTGCCCTTGGTCACAAAGCTTGTGGAGGGCAAGACCAGGGTGCAAAGCGGGATTTGCCCGAATCCAGGCCCAGGCTTTTAGCCGTGAGTCTCTGCTGGCTCAGTGCTTTATAGAGACTGTAACGGCTATTCTCCACGTGGCCGGATGGAACTTTGAATGTAAACTGGCTCCGATTTCAGGGTTTCACCAATAAGCACATGAGCAAACCATTAAAACCAGCTTTGGTTCTGATCAGCAGAAGCAGCACCCAACAACCCACCAAGAGGACGGCGACAACTTGGAAATTAGTAGGATTTGGCTAGCACTGAACGGTCGGAGACCTGGACGCTCAGCCACACACGTGATTCGCAGTGTGCCCTTAAGCAAGCCACATCTTCTCTAAAGTTTGGCTTCCTGCTAATCTAAAGGAGGCTCAAGTCAAAAGAGCATAGTGACTAGCCCAACACTCATTCACATAATTATGACAGCGCTAAAATAATGTCTCTAAAATACAGCCCCGCAGTTTATCCTTCTAAGTTCCCCGTTTCTAAGAGGCAGTATGGCGACATGGTCACATGTAGACTTCTGGAGGCAGAATGCAAGCTCTGCAATTCGCTCCCTGCACAACCCTGGGTAACTTAGGTTAACTCTCAGTGTCTCAGTCTCCTCAGCTGTTTAAAATAAGGATGATGATAGTACCCACCACACCTAAGGTTGCTGTGACAATTAAATAAATCAGGTACAGCAATTCGAACTAGCAATGGCACAACGTAAATACTCAATAAATGATAGCCACGATGACAGAAATAATAAATCATTTTTCCCTTAGCACATTATAAGCAGAGAGGTGGCTAAGAGATCTGCCACAGCTTGTAAATGGAAAAAGCTCACAGATCCTGCTTCCGTCCATTTCATCGTACATGGATACATGTCAGCCCAGCTGACTGCAGAGGAATCCGACAAATACTAAAATCGGAAGACGCCCTCAGATCTACAAATGGCATCTCCAACTGAATTAACTGAAATGAGTATCTTTAATATTTTTTACCTTCTTCTCCTCTTCCCATTCTAAGACCTGAATACGGGATCTGTACCCTTCCTTTTAAGCAGGAGTTCACGTTATAGACTTTTCCCACTGCTAAGTTAGGAGTTGAGGGTTTAAGAGAAAAGGAATAGAGATCAACCCTGATGACCATTTAAAAAAATTTATGGGGAATCAGCCAGGAACAAAATAAAACGAAACTCGCTTGAGGTTGATTTTACGAGCACAAGCCTCTACTTACACAGGAGTGTGAGAGCAACCTGTTGACAGATATTTTCCAGGCACAGAAATCCTCAGGAGGCAACCGCTCAGAAGATCAGCACCTGGAATTTAAATGACAGTATGAGCCCTTAGGAAATCTCCCAGAGCAACAGAGGAAGTAAAAGTCAGTTGTTTTCTCTTGTTCCTCCGCCAACGTCATAAAGAGATGAATTTTTAAAAACAAGAAATAAGGAGCACCTTCTCCTTCCTGCTGCATAGGTTGGGAAAGTTCCTGCACAGTGAGCGGTGGACATGCTCCTCACTGGTGCGTCCACCGACACGAGGCTGTGCGTTTCGCAGATCATTAAGGTTTGCTCAGCAAGAGGTCTTATGAAATAAAACATGGTATAGACCTATAGCTCCAGTCACGGAAGAAAGGCATGAAAGCAGCCCGCACAGAAGACAGGGAGAGGTTTCTATTTTCAAAATTGGTTTCGCAACCTCAGGCTGCAGCAGCACAGACTGCAGAGGCCAGCAGAGGGCAGCAGCAGTCTGCAAGTGCAACCTTCTCTCACTGCTCCGCGGTCAAGCGGAGGAAATACAGAACAGAAACCCCACGATGTTCTCTCCTGTGTAGTCTAAGTTTAAAGCTGGAGTGCACCTTTTGCCACATTATAGGAAAGGAGGCCCGTGTTGTAGAGGTCTTCGTTTTTGAAAACTCATCGTTCAAGGTGTACTTCAGTCTTCCATGCACGTGACCTGCCACAGCCACTGGGAGTGCCTTCATAACAGCCCCAAGGAGGGTTCCTTAGAAGGGGCTTAAGTCCCAAAAGCTCACATTTCACCCAGCAAGGGGCTGCGTGACTCAGCAGTGTGAGGAAGAAAAGTCTGTCCTGTCAGATTACTATCTATTGCAATTTCCAAGTGAACAATTACAACCCCATGGAGGAACAGAAACATGGCCGAGGCCAGTGGATGGGGTGATATGGTCTAGACACGTGCATCAGACAGACTGGGGAAGACAACGCACTGTGGTTCACAGGTGTGATCTTTAAGCCGAGCGCTGGAGGACATGTTCTTTAGCGACTATGCTCACACACTTCAAGATGCTATCAAAACACGGACGTAATACGTTCGGAAGATTCTTGAAAGTTGGGATTAAAATTCAAGAAGATCTTGACCAGGAAGAGAAATGGCTGAGAAAAGCCATTGTTATATTCAACACTGTCTTATGACAGAAAGATAAATCTAAAATATTCAAGCTGAGAGGAAAAGGAAGGAGGATCTATCAGGGTAAACATAAAATTCAAACTGACATGGAGCTATTAAATCACACGGCTTTGGAATATTTAAATACTAATTTAAAATAATAGCATGTTTCCGAAATTGTCTGTTCATAAAAATGACGACAGGACCCAGAGTCAGTGAGGAGCTCTTCCCCTCGTCAACGGTGACTGAGATGGGTGTCAGCTGCAAGGAACGCCCGTCGGCTGTGTTCCGGGAGT